CAGTCGGAATTTTGACGCCGTCGACTGCATTATTAAGTTCCAGTCTGTACTCCTTCGCCCAGTTCGTGAATACGTATTAACCTATTCAAACACTGTTCAACATTATTAAACTTTAATAATTAACTTTTGATAACAACTTTTAACATTTCTTGGCTTACTTACCCACTTCTTTCGAATTTATTATTTTTTTATGTTTATCAGGCACGGGATTTAGCCCAAAATCTAGTTCCATTGATTCAATATCATAAATGGATTTCAGGGACGAATGTTTTTTTTGCTGAAAGTCGCATTCCTTCATATTCAAACGCTTTGACTCAAATCCAGCAAATTCACTTTCTGTATCACTTATTTTAATATGATTTATCTCGTCATCACCACTTATTACACAAATGTTTATACTATCCTGGGATTTTCTCTCCCGAAATAAAGACGCAGATTGCTGTAATTCTTTTGAACTATAAAGGGTTTCTGGTTGTAACTCGCTGGAACTTTTGGATTGTGCAGAATTCCGCTAAGAAAGAAAACATTTTTATATCATACTTATATCCTTAACAAAATTCTCACCTTAAAGAAATGAACGGAATTTTGGATTTCTGCAACTCCGCCTCTTCCTTGCATATCTAACTATATATATAACTAAAGATTTTTTATTACAACTATTTTGTTGTTCCAAATTCACAATAATTATAACTCTTTTGATATTAACATCGTCTAATCTACTAAATTCACTGAGATTTATTAAATTGTTATGTTTTTCATTCCTTATCACCAAAGAAATTTATACTAGCAAAAGAATACGCTATTGAGAAAAAATACTGACACTTCGCTTTAGTTTAGTCCCACCAGAGAACTGGCTTAAAAACAGGGTTGCTTAAAATTGAAGGAACGTATGCAAATAGAACAACAGCAAGACTTCAAAATTCAAAATAACTTTATAATTGTATTAGCGAAAAAGGTACTGATAAATTTTTTAATTTTAGTGTACAGTGGCATTAAGATGTATTGAACAATTTATTAAGTCGTAAGCCAAGAATGATAGAGAAAGAGATTACGCAATGCTCATGTTTGCTTTCAGTCAGCTGTTCTTGCTGACGTCACGGTTGACTTATTATTCGCCCGCATCTTTAATTATAAATTCGAATTGTAATTTCGAGTGAAGTATTAATTGAGTAATTTTATATTTTTTTAAATACGTTACGCAGTGTTCCTCTGCAATAATAACAATGTTAAAAATAATTCTACAGAGTGGAGATTTTTCCATTTCCCTAAGGATAAAACAGTACTAAAACAATGGATTCATTTTTGTCGTCGGGCGAATACACTGCACTCCAAAAGCCTCCGAAAGCAATTTGCATTTTATAATGGGTAATTATATCATTTTGATTACAATAATTTTACTTTTATAACCAAAAACTCTTGCAGGTTTAAGCTCGCGGAATCCAACGAAGTTACTACCTAGCGCTTTTCCCACGTTAGAAAATTATGTAGTCTTGTTTAAACCAGGACGTTTTTAGACGGTCTTCATGATCACCCTGACAGGCAGGAGTTCAAGTATAGGCTGCGTTGTTATATACTTGGTCACAACGAAGGAGCGGTTACAGATGGAGGAAATGTTAAAGTCGCCAACATCCCAGATTTGGAAGGGAATTACTTATCTCTAACCGGTAATTACCAAAATATTCAAAGTACATAGCATTATAAACTTAAAACTACAGAAAACATTGTAATATGAAAATAAACTGATGTTAACAAATGCAAATACATACATACTTACATACAAACTAAGTTTTTGCATACTTACCACTGTTTGTTATCCTAATTATAATAATAAACTTAACAAACAACATTTTTTTTATACGCATGTATGTATGTTTATTATATTTTTGCAGGTAATATTTTTTAACGTCTGTCAGTAGATCTAAACCCCACTGGCCCAACTGAAAAAAATTGATGACTTGGAGATTCTCAACAACGACGGACTTGAGAATTTTTCAGGGTACATCTGCCACAACCTTGGTAAAGACAACCCCGAAATTTGTGCCAATTCAGAAAATTGTTCATCTTATACTTGGGTGGATCGCCTTTCTGAAGGACGACTCTCAAAACCAACAGATATGTTGATGGAGCTTTGCAAGTAGTATTTGACGACATAAATGATACTAATTTGCATATATGTATGTACAAATTATGTTCAAAAACACTTAGATTTAAGTAATTTTGTAAACTATCACGAAAGTAAAAGAACTGTTGTTTAGAGCTGGAATGTATTTTAGGATTCGTTGCTTTAATAAAAACATAATTGAAAATATGTACAGCAAAAAAAGAAAATTAAAAAAGACAATAAATTGATAAAATGAAATACAAAATATTCAATATTTTTATTTGCATAAATGTATGTACATATATGGTTGAAAACAAACATAGCAAAGAGACAAAATTAAATAATATAATGAAATAAATATGTAGGTAAATGTTCACTATAAAATATTCACTTATATTGATGTTAACTTTTGATGATATTAATGTTTTTGTATGCCTGCAAWACAAAATTGCTTCTTATTGCATAGAAAAACAAACAACTGAAAATCAGTTGATTGTACGTTGGTCAACCGTGACTTAGATGCGCAGAACTAACGAAATTTGAACTCGTCATTGCTCAATCTTTGTTTCTACCATTCTTGGTAGTAAGCAATCTGATTGATAACTGATTTTTACAGTGCGAACGATAGATATCTAGTGGAATATGTAAGGTACAGTGCTGACAGTAATTGTGCATCAGATAGAAGTGTAGACATCGTTGATTTTTTACAATTTTGTTTATATATTTTGCTACACATAACTTGCCTGAATTTTATATTTCTGATGTGTGATTAACTATTTTTTAGAAAATGTATTACCTCTTATTGCTATTAGATTATAATTGCATTATGCTTGTGGTGTACAACCATAACAGGATTGTTATGTGCGGAAGGTTACAGAAGCTGGGGTACTTGAAATCCAGATAACAACCTTAAGTTTAATTCTTTTAGTACCTCGACGGAAAATTAGTACATCTTTCTGTGTGGACTCATTTTTACAGTTTTTTATTTATATTTATAAAAATATAGCCTTTAAGCACAAATATTAGAATTGTAATATTAATTCATCAATAGTCAATTTTTTAAGAACAATTTTGATAAAGTAAATAAAAAGTATTCAATGTATTTAAACTAAGAAATTTCGCAAAATTCTCTTGAGGAGTCCCTGATTTTGACATTTCTACTTACTATAATAATGCATAAGATAATGTGCACAAAGTGGCAGCAGAAAAACCAATTGTTTGCAATTTGGCATTCTGCCGTCAAACAGCAACTACAAATTCTCGCACAATTATAAATGCATTGTTTAACCAAAATTCTCTAATTGGTATTTGCTGACGTTATTGGTTTGAAATTCTAGTATTACAAATTCCCATAAATTTTGAATAAATTTTAAGTCAATAAATTATTAATCTTTGCTAAAACAATTCATATATGTATAAATACATGTGCAGTTCAAGTAGGCAATTACTTTGAATATTCACCCTTTAATTACTGCAATTGGACGTAATTTTATACATTTTTTGCTAATTCCTGCCATATGACAAGTGTCAACGACATCAGTGACATCTTTGTAAGATTCTGGTGCTTCCTCCATTACAAGTTTGGGTGATGCCACACGTATAGCAATACCCATTTCGTCCAATTTTTCAAGAACGTCCTTGTAATCTAAGTTCCGTCGTGACTTAGCACGTGATAAAGCGCGGCCCTTTAGATTATCATTAAAATTATATAAAGAAAACCTATATAATTAGTAGACATACCGCTCCATGACATGTAGAGCCAAAAGTTTCATGCATTCCCTTTTCGGTTCCAGTTAGCACGTAACTGCATGTGCCCATTGTACCGCCTACCAAAACAGGTTGGCCAGTCAATTGATAGTCCACTGGTATAAGAGGATGATGTGGTGGAAAAGCCCGTGTTGATCCCTATTAGTTAACTTTCCTTATTGTGCATATCAAATATAAGTTATTATTTATATTAAAGCTAACCTTTCTATGCACCAGCAATTGTTTTTCCTTGCCGTTGACGATGTGATTTTCTACTTTTGCAATATTATGAGACACATCATAAATCACGTGCATATCAAGATCATCGGGAGTTGTGTTGAACATTTTGGCGAAAGCTTGACGCGTGAGAAAAGTCATCGAGCTTCGATTTACCCAAGCAAAATTTGCAGCAGCTGCCATGGCTTTTAAATAATCTTGGCCTTCTTGTGAGTTTATGCGAGCACATGCTAATTGCCTGTCATTTGTTTCAATTTGATCTCGTTTCATGGCTTTCTCCATTTGAACCAAAGCGTCAGTAGCAACTTGATGTCCAAATCCTCGACTGCCAGAGTGTATCATAACACATACTTGACCTTTTTCTTCAATTCCCATTTTACTAGCGCTCCATTTATCATAAATTTCATCAACAATTTGAATTTCAGCATAATGATTACCTGCTCCTAATGTTCCCAATTGCGGAAGACCTCGTTTTTTTGCACGCAAACTTACTTTTGAGGGATCCGCGTTTAACATACGACCATATTCTTCACAGTGCTCTTTGTCTTCAGCCCACACATATCCTTCACGAAGAGACCAATCCATGCCCATTTCAAGAGCCTCTTCCATGTCATGGGCATTCATTGGGATGATACCTTTGGAACCAACTCCAACTGGAATATGGTCAAAGAGAGATTGTGCCAATTGTTCTTTAACAGGTTGAACATCCTTTTCAAAGAGATTTGTACGCAGTAAACGTACACCGCAATTGATATCAAAACCAACTCCTCCTGGGCTTACCTGCACAATTATATATGTATAAAAATACCAAGTATTCCTGAATTTTATTTATTTTTTGCTTACAATTGATGTGGGATCGAGCATATCAAATGCGGCCATATTTCCAATAGCAAATCTAAAACAAAGTTGCATATGTTTAATAACACTTAATTAATTGAATGTTACTTACCCATAACCAGAATGAATATCCGGGAGCCCAATAGATCGTCCAACAATGCCTGGCAAAGCAGCCACATTAGCTATTTGCTTTACTCCTGGCAAAAAACCACCAACTGCTCCCGGCCTACATGAGTTTTTAAGCTCTTCTAACATGAGCCGTTCTAACCGGCTGTTTACATAGAAACACCCCTCCACTTTCATATTGGGCTGAAATTCTTTTTTTATCCTCCAGCAGCAATCACTTATCTTCTCGAGATATTTCAATTCTTCGTTATAAGGTCTCACAACCATATTGCCAATTATCGTACCAATATCAAAAAGTAATACAATGTATAGTAAAAATTAGTTAAATGCTTGTTCGCCGGTGCTAGATATCTGGTAAAGAATGTAGAACACAGTAGAATACGGAGACGTAGAATAATGTGCTGAACACATAGACAGCGACAAACTTCAAGCGACATCTCTCAAATATTAAAATACACATGTTCTAAAGGACACAGTTATGTAGTCGCGCAGCTGTATAAATAACTGTGCCCTTAACAACATGTTAGAATTTAACAAAAGGGGAAAAAAAATGCATATGTAAAATTATACCATGTTTACATTGATCAAAATGAATTTTTGGGGGATGCAATATTTATATATTTTGAACTCCGGATTGTGGATCCAGTATTCAAAGCTGAAAGTTTAACGCGAGATCCATGACATTTTGTACATTTGTAAATTGGCGATACAAAAGAAAAAAAATATAGATAAAAATAAAAACTGCTGAATTTTTTAAATGTGCTATTTAATTATATTTATATTAACGTATATTATATTTTTCCAAAATCTACCATAATAAGTTTTCTTCTATATTTTGTGCAAAAAAGGGCAGAAACTTAAACAAATGCAAAAGAATTTTTTTTATATCATTGTTTCAAAAAATCGATTTATTTCGAAAAAATACATACGTTATATCTATTGAACGTGTAGCATTTAGCCGCGATCCATCAATCATTCTTTATGAATCACGATCCATATCTCACAATAAGTAATGGACCTGTGAGAGGCTTCTTTATATTATATATAAATATATGAACTAACCATTTTAAGCAATGTTAGGCTACTTGCTGTGAAGAAGTAAAAAGAGTCGTGGAGGTAACTATTTACTTCCGAGCAGATAAATCATGGTCCACCACTTTACCCCGGATGAGAGCCTTGTGAGATTGACTGCGTCAAAGCTTTAGGATAGTCCTCTCAAATGGTATAAGTTTTGTACGCGTGTTTTTGTTGGATATTCCTCTTTAAGAGGAAGTGCTAAGATGATTATTTTTTATAAAGAAAACATACTATATATTAGAAGGATATATAGGTTGGTATCCAGCTCTCAAGTAATTGCTCAAGAAAAAAACTACATTATTTCTTCAAGTAACTCTGACAGCTCGTTAAGCATTGTGCATGATCTACAATAGAAGAGTAAGAGAGAATAAATGAAAGAAAATAAACTTTGTGCGTAATATATATGTATGTATGTGTGTTACAACATAAATATTTTTATTGCGATTAAAGGAATGTTGTTGAAGAAATATACTTCATAATAATGATTTTACCTAAGTTAGGATGATTTTAACGATTTACTTTGAATTTCCTTCAAGAAAGAATTGTTGATTTCATGTTTCTTCGGAAAACCAGGTTTGCCATATTCGCATTTTATTGAACAAATTTATTAAAAATTAGTACTAGATTTCTTTAGAGCTGAATACTAGCACAAGTAAATTTATCGCCGGGAAGTTACTTGACCGTTTCTTAAGCGTTTTTTTATATGAAGTTTTTACATTTCTAGAGAGCTGGATACTAAGCTTTATGTTCATAAAAATTATCATATAAACTACCTAACCATAATAGAACACCCTCCAAAGTCCGAATACCATTGTGACTTATTTAGCTTAAGTAAAGTCTGGTAGCATTTTTGAAAAAAATTTGGTCTACTAAGTTGCCTGCACTGTCCAACGTCATCTTTAAGCGTGAAGTAGTGAAATATGTAGAGTGAGTGAATATGATGACTCTTCTTAGAAAGAGATGGTAGTAGGAGATGAGTTAGTTTTTTTTATTACAGGTAGAAATTCAATCAGTACTAGGTGAGTTAGTGGAAGAAATAAGTTGAAATCGGTTGGAAAATTTGTGAGTAAAGTTGAGGTAAAAATATTTAAATTAACTAGCTTTGAATATATCAGTCTTCGTATTGGGAATAAGACAATTTAACTTGGGCGATTACTTCGTTTTTTCTGATTTTGAATGTCGTAGTAATACTCATCAAATAATACATACTCGTATAGATAGACTTGTGCTTCAAAATGTATACTCCATAGTTAATTATTGTATATAGTATTGAAATTTAAGAATCAACACGTATTAGTTTGCGCTAATTGTTAGTATATTGTCTTTTATTAAAAAAATAATCTATGTACATTGTGCATTGGACTTTAATTGCTACTGACCTAAGCAAATGAGTTATGTTAAACAGTTTGTAGGCAGTACTATTTATTTAAATAGGTAGTGCATAAAAAAGTAAATAATTTAAAAGTAAATCTTTTTGAACGCTATTTGTAAATGCTTGATAATTTGAGATGATCTACATAAGATACTTGGGCTGTAATTTTTGCTATTTTATTTCCTTCGCTTTAGGAATTTAAGAAAAAGTTTCAAATATTTAATATAGTATATATGTATTTAATAAATATATAATTGGTTTTGGTATTGCTTATAAAAACTTTTTTCTAATGGTAAGCAAAGGAACTATGGAACCGCTATTGGATCGCCTAGATTTTTTAAGGCCAAATACCGGCAGTGCAGTATGGGCGTGCGAAGTAATTTTTAATATATATTATTTTGCTTAAAAACGCACTATAAATAAGTATTTTTGCTATACATACTTCAATGAGTATAGTGTAAGTGTTTAAACATAATTTGTATATGTACATATATACAGACATATATTAAGAGTTGACTTTCGTATCACTGGAAATAAGACGATATAAAAAATAATAATTTTTGCGGCCTCCTTCGTTGGCGGCGTAAACTATACATTTATCAAAAAAATTACAATCTACTAAATTTCGAAATATGTTACAAGAACTATAGGGTGATCCATTTCGAGGTTCTCTCCTTTTTTAAAGAAAAAGCACAGGACTTCGAATTTAATAGAGAATGTTTCATTTCTACTGGTAACTGACGAATGACACGCGTGATGATTTGCTCCAAGGCATGAATCGAAGCGAGATTGTCCGCTTAAAATTTAGACTTTACATATTCCTACAGGAAATAGTTTAACGGTGTAGTATCACACTATCTTGGTTGCCAATCGATCGACCCAAAACTTTACTTCATCTGCTCACTGACGCTGAGATAACGAACTTAAATTTTAGGCATTCAATAGTCTGTTATCATGGCGCGATAAGGGTATTGTTGTATATGCGTATGCGTTTTTAATGTTTGCTTATTCAAGGTATACATTTGTCGTAATTGAGGGTTGTGACAAACCTTTTAAACTGGGAGGATCTGAACCGCCATAACGGTTGTTGTTGTTTTAACGGTTTCTCAATCCTGGTTAGGATGGTAAGGGTTATCTGTGTTGTCGTCGACGTCATCTAACGGGAGGCCCAGGAAAAGTGCTGTTTCGACGGGGTCGGACCAAAAGGTGTTAGATGAGTAGGGTTCTTCTGCTGCGTTTGCGCGAAAAGGTTCCATCCAAACTCCACCTCGGTCAGGTGCAACACATGCAATGGATGGATCCATCTTAAGACTTGCTCAGGCCTTAAGACCCATAGGGAATGAACCACGCGTTACGTGGCCCCATGTTGCCTACGCAATACTGCGACGTAGGCCTCTACGGCTGTGCAATCTGCATATAGTTCGCGCGCTGCGCCGCCACCCACCTCGAGTGGCCAACATAGGAGAATTAAGATGTCTTCATGAATTTGTACATAAAACTTTTGCAAATGTTTTTTGGCACTCTTAATCAAAAATTTTTAAATTGCCGTAACGAATCCGCAAACTAAGATACAGAGCTGTAATTTATACCGTACTGTGATACAGTCAAAAGTCAAATTTTCAATTCAGGACCGTCTAATCAGCTCCTACATTTTATTATATAGAGATGTATTTCCACTTGAATGAAAATAACACCTCGGTAACAAAAAGACTTTTTTTGCGTATTTATTTCTCATATGTATATGGATTAAATAATTTAGGAGCAAAGTCCTCTCTCGACAAACAAAAACCAAACTCTATAAGTCACTCATAATACCCGTCCTGCTATATGGTGCAGAGGCTTGGACGATGACAACAAC